AATACTTTAAGATGCCGGATCTAAGATCAAACGATGAGTGGGAATCAAAATTGGATTGTTGGATAGTAAAAGAAGGATAGAACTTCTATGTTGTAAGGGATGCATATAAACCTTTTCCTTAAGTTTTAAGACTAATGTTTGGGATATAACCTCGTCATCCTATATACTAGTTTTAAGAGAAAAATATCCCGATTACATCCCCCAATATTTGGAAAAGTAATATCTCCATATTGAATAGAGTCTGACTAATTTTTAGAGGGTGAAAATTGAATATCACAAAACTTAAAATTCAAGTTTCTACGGAAAATAATCATATAGTAATTTTTGGATAAATCCCAAAATTCAGATTGAAAAAGACCCCAAGAACTTCAATTGAGTCACGGAGGGATGGAGTAGATGTAAACTATTACTCCCGCCGTACGCCTCTAAATTATTTATGAAATGGCGCTAAAATAAGGTTTACGCTTAACAATTTACAAATTTAAAGTGACCTTGACCTTAAATAGAGATATTAGAAGTACCCACTTTGGAAATATCATCAAATTTTTCCCTTCAACAGTTTGAAAATATCAGCAATTATCTCGTGAATTTAGCGCCTCCCTCTCTTAACTTTAAGCAAAAGTTCGGGATTTAATGGCTACCGAATTTTTAATGAGAGATGGAGAGATGTTAAAGACTAGTAAGTCGGGAATTCAACAGAGACTGCGTTCATAAGAGCTCATTTTGCAGAAGGAATGGAGAGAGGGGTTCGAGAGGGAGACTTACATAGGTGTTGAGCTGGCGAACGAAGCTGGAGAAGTTGTTGTGTTTGAAGTAGTTGGGGAGAAGGTCCCTGGCGAACTCGGCCGGACGCCACACGACGAAGGTGCTCCCTTCCTCATTCCACGACACCACCTCGTCGGTGGCGGGGTCGTCGACCAGCTGGTATGTCTTGCTCAGGAATGGTGCAGGCACCTGCCTCGGCTGCTGTATCTCCTTCGCCATCTTCTCTTTCCACTCTTACAAAAAACTAAATTAAAGACCCTCGCTGGGGAGAGCGACAGAAAGAGGAGAGCTAATGAAGCTTTAAACTGAATAAGAGCAGAGCGGTTAAAAACTCCCAACCCCAGCAATAGAAGCCACACATCGGTCCACAATTCATGAGATCAATCCTCGATTTTGTTGTTCCCAGATCGATGATTCTCTCTGATCAGAGATCTCTCCCTTTGACAAAACAATCTTTTGAAATGCCTCTGCTCCTCAATGGCAATCATCAGATTAGAACATAATTGAAGAAAACTTTGATTCAATCTCGAAACCTCAAAATTCAAACTCTTCCAAAAATGATTTGAAATCAGAAGCCACCGACCTGTAGATATTGCAGGAAAGGTTTAAGAGAGAAGACAAGAATTACCCATGGAATCGAAGGAGAAGAAGAAAAGGGGACATTCAAAAAATTCAGAGCTTGTCTTTGCGACTTCTGGACTTTCAAAGCCCCTCCATTGATGAAGGCAAGCAGTTTATTAAGAGGAGGAAATGGAAATCTGGAAATTTCCAGAAAAGTATGCCAGAAACCAAAGGGAAGTTGTCTGTATTAGGCGAATTTTTCCTTCTCACCTTTTGTTTCCCTATTCTTACCTTCCCAATTTAGTATTTTATTTTTCCATTATTATTTTAATTTTATGTCCTCTCTGCCAACTCGGAAAAGAAAGGAGGGCAGGAATACATTTCGTCGAAGGTTCTGGGCCGTTTGTGAACCGAAGCTTCTCAGCGTTTTGAAGATCCGACGGCTGTGATATCAACACGTCACGCTTCCTTTCTTCTTTGGAAGAAAATGGTGGGGGAGGGTGGTTAGGGTTGCTGTCCTTCACCTAATATCTTACAACTACTACTGATCCCAAGTACCACTCGTGTGTAGCCCCTTTAACATGCGTGAGATAATAGGACCTTTTTGTAAAAGGGGCGCATGCCCATGACGCCTTCCACGTTTTAGTAGTGGAAAAATTTTACATATAAAATGTAATGTAAAGCCATGACTCAAAATCTATCTGGAAACTGCAATTTTGGAGTTCAACAAACCCTCGAATACTTTGTCAATCTACATTTTCGGAGGCCTTTTTTTTTTTTTAAGTAATCATATTCTTTTGGAATGGTTCTTTTTTCGTACATGCTCCTCCAAAATTTCACGGGAATGTTTGGCTACTTTCACCGCTATTAGGAAGTATTGCGACGTTTCGGTTTTGGAAAAGCCTTTAAAATATTTCAGTACTACAAAAAAATGGACTTCAAAACTTTAAAATGACACATTTTGATTTTGTATTACATACCTAAATCGTCTTTTTTGTTTTCTAGTGCTTATACTTTGTTAGGTTTACACCAGTTTTAGGGTATGTTTGGATGATAATTAATTTTATGTAAAATATATCAATTTATATAAAATTAATATGCTCTTGATAGTGTTATTTTGTTAGCTGCTTGACATGTACCTTGCAATATATATAATATTATTAAAATATTTAACTTTGAGTTTTAGATATTTTTGACCAATCACATGTGATTTTCTAGAAATTACTTTGAATAAAATAAAAATAACTTTTAAAACAAATAAACCTATGAGCAAAACTACCTATAAGTTTATCTCAAATTAATTTATGATGGCCATAACCAAATAATAGATAACTCATCATCAAGATTAACTTAATTGAAATAGCGAATTATGAATGATAACGAGTGCATCCAAACAATCCTTTAATTGGGGATTGAAATAGATTCTCAATATATCATATGATGTTTTTGGCTCTGAGCCGACATCTTTTATCAGCATTTTAACGAATGGCTTTATTTTTAATCATAAAGCCTACATATTGTGCTAACCATAGTCCTTTTATTGAGGATGAAGTTTCTTCAAGGCCTAGGCTTTATGAAAACAAAATAAAGCCTCATCTCAAATTCTCATTCGGAAAGCACTTTTGGTCATGGGAATCTCCATGATATCTCTAAAATTAATTTCCAATACCGACAATAAAATTTGAAACTAAAAAAATGAAATAGATCTTCTATATTTATGAACACTTATTTTTAGGGCGAAATAGACTCTTCATATAATTTGTTACAAGATACATTATTTTTAAAGTTTAAAATCTTTTCTTTTTTTTAATGACTATAATCTTCAAGCCGATATGAGGTTTTCAATGCTTTAACTGCAATTTTCAATGAGTTATAAAGTGAGGATTTACTTATTTTAGTAGGGCTGCAACCTATCAAACTATTTTCCTTTTACTAATTTTTTCTAATTTTTATCCAACCAATAAAGAACTTGCCATCTTATAAAAGGACAATGCTACTTTCTTCCACGTTCACTGTTGAGCTGACATGCTCATGGCAAATATGAACCGTTCATGCATGGGAACAAAACAATATGGAAAAGGTTGCAGCTGCAGCTCAAATCTGACACGAAATTGTTATTTTGAGGGCAAAAGCATTAAACAGAGCATCATAATCTCAATAATTATGTTGAAAAAAATTAAATTTTTTTAAAAAAGTTTGTATTGAAAATATCAAAATTTAATCTTTTAAAAATAGTGTATTTCACAAGGGAAAGGTTTCTATCCTTCCCTTAGCATAGAAGATCTATGCTTCCTCTACCATCCAGCCGTCCAATTTTGATCAAGAGAGCCACTCATCATTTGATCTTAGATCCGATGTCTCAAAGTATTTTATTTTTATATTTTTTATACAAATTGTATGAATATGAAATTTGGTACGTGCCATCTTCTCATTGAGGTGCACCTATAAAAAATATTAAAAATAATTTTTCGATAAAATATAATGATCAAAATACCCCTTGAAATTTTAGGGGCATTTTGGTTATTTTATTTTATTGGAAATATTTTTTTTATATTTTCGCTAGTGCAAGTTTAATAGAGGATTGGACGTACAAAATTTAGTGTCAAAATAGTTTATAGAAAAAAATATTAAAAATAAAATAGTGTAGAGACGTGACATTGTCATTGTAGTAAGCTTAGCCCTCCATTCAGAATGGACCTTTGGATAAAGGGAAGTATAAAAATTTTATGTTGCAGAGGAAGCATAGAAAGCTTGTCCATTTCATAATACAATACATTACATACATCAAAGTTCCAATTTTAAAACCAAGGACAAAATTAAATTTTCAAGCCAGTTCTAGCAACAGAAATGTATTTAAAATATGAGAAGTAAAACCTCTAGTCTTAACATGAGTGACAAACTGACTATTACCCTTTCATCGGGATATTATGGGTGGGGAGTTTTATGATGGTACTATGGTGTTTGTCTTTTTAATTGAGATTTATTGGATAATGACCAGGTTTTTAATATATTAAACATATTAGTATTGTCGATTAAATTTTTATTGAACTCAAACTACAAAGTTTATTAAAAACTTATAAATGATAAAGTAAATTAATATATAAAAAGTAATTGTGCATCTTAATAGATTTAATGTACATGTTCATTATCAATTCCTCGCAATACTTTACATTTTCCCCTGAGATTGAACAGCTATTTTTACCAAATACCCTAATTTCTTTTCAAAATTTTACATGTCATTATCCGGAAAAACTATCATAGTAACAATTTTATGATAGAAAACCGTGGATATCGTGCTCAATTCACTTTACCAAGATCTTATTAGAGTTATTATAAGGGTCAACCTTTCTATGCTTCTCCTACCGCATAGAAGTTTTATCTTCCCCCTTATCCAACCGTCAATTCTGAATGGAGGGCTAAGATTGCCCCAATCACAATGTCACGTCTCTACACTATTTTATTTTTAATTTTTTTTTCTATATATTATTTTGACACCAAAATTTGGATGTCCAAACCTCTATTAAACTCGCACTAGCGAAAAATATAAAAAAAATATTTTCAATAGAATAAAATAACCAAAATACCTCTGAAAATTTCAAGGGGTATTTTGGTCATTATATTTATCAAAAAATTATTTTTAATATTTTTTATAGGTGCGCCTCAATGAGAAAATGACACCTACCAAATTTCATATTCATACAATTTATATAAAAATAAAAACTAAAAATAAAATACCTTAAGATGTCAGATCTAAGATCAAACGGTGACTCCCTTCATAAAAAATGAACGGCTGGATGGTCGGGGGAGGATAGAACTTCAATGCAATAGGGGAGCATAGAAACATTTCTCTATTATAAGCCATTGAATAAAGGGAAAGCTTTCTATGTTCCCGCTACAATATAGAAGTTCTATTCTCCCCCTTATCCAACCGTCCATATTTTAATGGAGGGCTAAGATTGCCCCAATTACAATGTCACGTCTCTACACTGTTTTATTTTTAATTTTTTTTTTCTATAAACTGTTTTGATACTAAATTATGGACGTCCATTCCTCTATTAAACTCTCACAAATGAATAATATAAAAAAAATATTTCAATAAAATAAAATGACCAAAATACCCTTGAAAGATTTAAGGGGTATTTTAGTCATTATTTTTTATCAAAAAATTATGGTTGATATTTTTTATAGGTGCGCCTCAATGAGAAGATGTGTCACACCCCAAGAATTTACAATACTGTTATTCCTGAGATGTGACAGACAAAACATATATACATCTATTGATAGGACAAATTTACAGTGGCGAGGTCTTACAAGGTAAATAAAGAAAGCTAGCACAACAACAGTATCTTCCAAGGTTGATCTTGACTAGCACTCAAAATGAATCCGCTGTTATGCTGAAAAAATGTTTACCATAGTTTGATGAGTTTGGCTACTCAGTAAGTGATCATCATAATCCTAAAAATAATCATGATTGAAAGATATCAATATTTTCCAAAATGAAATCTATTAACAGAAATGCATCAACAGTTTCACTTTCAATAAATACATAATTAAGTATAATCCGAGTAATTGAAATCCTTATAACACTTTTAACGGTAGTACATAATTCAAAGGATTTCACAAAATACCCTACTGGCGTCCCAAGTAGGTCACCTATATACCCCATCAGCGTCCTGATGGGTCCACTTAATCCCTATCGACGTCCCAGATAGGTCCACTTAATCCCTGCAGGTCTACTTATACCTCACCGGCGAACCGGATGAGTCCACTTGCATACTTAAATTATTTCTAAATCTCTTTAAACATTTGAAAGCAGCAATATCATGTACTCAACATATCACTGAAATCATTAATATGAATTTCACTTAAACCATTAATAACAGTCACTCTCTATAACATTTCAAAAATAACCAATCAAATATTTTGGGCTCAAATTTAGAAAGGTAGCAGTTTGTAAAGGCATTCTAGCATAATTGCCAATTTAATATGTATAGAAAAAACTCTTATAAAAATTCAAGAATACGGAATTATCACAATTTATGGAATATCAATTCACAAATAAACATTTCACAACAATACTATAATCAATTGCAAAAATGTCAATTTTTAAATAATAAGGCAGTCATTTGCACATGAATTTTACAATGTCTAAATATTCAAAACAGTAGAAAGAAATATCACAATTTTACTAAAAGCAGAAATATCACATTTA